GACACACACACACACACACACACACACACACACACAGGTTACGTTTTCTCCGACACATGCAGTTATAAAATGTCACGCAAAACAGTATCCAGTCAATGCACTATTTTGCTCACATTTACAAAGCCATAGAGCATTTTATTTTATTTTTCAAGTCTTGTCAAATTCTGTTCTTACTGATTTCCTGAAACAAAATTCCACAAACAACTTTTCCGTTGTGACTTTTGTTTCCCCTCTTCTTGTTTTTTTTTTTTTGTTTTTTTGACAAGGTGGAGTTTTTGGGTGTATCATCACTCACAGTGCAGCAGGCAGTTCGGAGCATTCTCGAAAAAAGGTGGGTTTTTTTCATTCCTCGGGCACTAAAGCCAAGCAGGTTCAGTTTTGCCGGGTGAGAGGAACACACACACAGACACACACATGAACACATAGATACACACAGACAAACATACACAGACATGGACACACACACACAAGGACATGCCCACATTCCCACATACCACAACTCTGGCCTGAAGAGAATAAACAACAACACATCATGAAAATGTTTTTTAACCAAAAAAGACAGAAAAAAAGAAAGAAAGAAAAACAGAAAAAGCCTCTCCCCCCCAAAAAAACCCCCACAACAACAACAACAAAAATAATACAAAACCAAAAACAAAAACAACAACAAAATGTTAACATTACAATAATAGTTGTCCATATTTTCTCAAACCAACAAGATAATATTATGATAGAAACCATTATCTGAAAGAAAAAAAAAACCCCTCCATTTATCCATTAATTACAAAAATTACAATATTTTCTGGTTAATATTCTCAAAGAACTAAATACATTTCTTACCATCCATCTTGTTCTTATCTCTCTGGCCTCTGAGTCATCATTTACAAAATATCGGTGTCGCTTTCAAAACCGCCATCTTCATGATTCTGTTTTTGCTTTGTTTAGCTTTGTTTTGTTTAATTTCTTTAATTCTTTTTTTTTTGTCAGTTTGAATAAAGAAGACATAAAAATGTGTAACATCTGAGATGGTAAATGTTTGTTGGAAAACGTTGGTTGGCTCACCGACATAATAACCATCATCCTGGACAGATTATGTTTCATGCTGACGGAAATAATGTGAATGTGAATACAAACTACATATCTATATACTTGATATATATAT